TGGCGTTCCCTCCCCTCCCAGAACAGGTCAGACCAAGTAGCCCTGTTGCTAGTTCCTATTTTTAATGCCCAACTGTGGGTGGCAGCACAGAAGAGTTGTTTTGGGAAGAGGGTCCCTTGCTTGGTCTGCTTCCAGAACTGCAGGATACACAGTGATAACAGAGACTATTATTTTACTTTTGGGAAGGTCTTCTCTTGAGGGAAAATAGAATATTACAATGAAACAGTAGCGGTACAATGGTGCTAGAGTACCAGCTATACATTTTGTAGTGGTACAGGTAAGAGGGGCTGTAAGGAAGTACTGGAAGGAGCATGAGAAAACAGCTTCATCGAGAATGGAAGGAGCATCTTTCAAGAGCGATGGGTGGAAGTCAAGAAAGCGCTTGTCTGAAATGGCATAAAAGTGGTTGCTGAGCGCTGTCCTTACAGAAAGATGGGAGTAAAGAACTTGACACTCAGCAAGAGGTGATGGGGAGAGGAGAAAACCCTAGAACCCCCCCGAAAGGAGTGACAAACAGTTAATTTTTGATGTGAGAGGAAAGGAGTGCCCAGTGAACTGCAGCAGAGAGGGCAGAGAACCTGGCCAGAGGTGCCAGCCAGAGAAATGGCCTCTGCCTTCCAGATGGAGGTGGGTGAGGAAAGGCGGAAATCCAGCTAAATGAGAGCCTTGTGATTCCACAGGTCCGTATGGGTGCACGATCTAGTAGCACGTGTGCCCCCATCAAAAATTTCAGAAAATCTAGCTTTTACGCACACAGTATAATAAGCAGAAGTGCATAAAGTATGATGGTAACAGAATCTGCCTGCCTGCACACGCTGATGTGGACACACGCCCTGTTTTTTGGAGCAAACTGTGCAGCCACAGGTACCTCCTGCCAGCTTACGTGCTTCAGGCACTGGAGCATGAGCAGCCCTCTCTGGGTAGGGCTCCCCATAGCTGGAGGTAGCCCGGCTTCCTCCTCACAGAGTCCTGTGAGGAACTTGTGGCCTAAATGTCCCTACACTTGTAACCCTCGGTACTCTCAGAGCCAGGGAACTTGCAATGCATCCAAATGGGAGTTAAGCGCAGCAGCTACAGCTCTGGTCCTTCTCCTTCTGTCCCAGGCAGGGACGTTTACCACCTATAGACAAGTTCATTCTGTTCTGCCCTAGTTTTTGAGGTCTCGGGCACCTTGATTATAGGTCACTTCCTGGGAGGAGGAAGAAAGTCCTGATCTGGTCTTCCTGCCCCTGAGGCCCCTCATTAGTCTGAAGTCCAGCTGGGAGCTGGGTCCCATTCCCCAGCTCAGTCTCCCAGATGGCTCCTGCAACCTGCTAGCTCACAGGTTTGAGCCAAGCCACTAAAATCCATGTGTCACACTGGTAGTATAGTTACACCTTAGCTCTAAATGGCTCAGACGGGGAGTAAGAGTCAGAACTGATGGAAGTAAAACACAAACACATGATAAAAGAAATGAAGTCTGAGTTGCACCAATGCACAGGGAAGCTTCTGTGAGGAAGGAAAAAAAATGGTAAGAAACCCAGAGGTCATGTGCTGTTGAGAAGGGCAACGAGCTCCTGTGTGTTTTGGGAGGGCTTCCAAAAGCCGTAGCACATATGCATAGTCGACACAAAAAATCCCCAACCGCATTATAGCCCGGTTTAAGCTGCAGGAGGAACCAGGCCGCTGAGCTTTTGGCATCTAGCTCACCCAGCTGGTCTGTGGAGAAGGGCAGGGGGAGAGACCCATCCCTCCAGCTGGTGATTCAGAGTGCTTGGGTATGGCTGGTTTTGGAGGTGGCTGTGAAGTGAGTGTCTGCAGCGATGGAGTGTGAATAAGCCTGATCTCCCTCACACGGCTGATGGGCTGGAGCAGGCGTCTGGCAGTGCTGTGCCCAGTTTGTATCAGCAGCTTTCAAAAGCGCTTTGCAGTGGGGGATGGTCACGTTTGCTGCGGCCGCTGTTTTATAGACTGGGGACACAGGAAGGGAGGTGTGAAGTGTTGGAACAGTCAAGAAGCCAACAGAAGAGGGGCATTCCCAGCTCCCTGCTGCCTTTTTAAATGTCGGAGAGTGCTGTCTCTTGATAAGAATTTTTGTGGTTTTTTTTTTCAAGCTGTTGGACTGGGGCCCCTGCTGCTGGCCTGACTGCCCAGTTCTCCTCCCCAGCAGCTGCACTGGCCCAGCAGTTGCCTTCCCCGGCAGCGCAGCCCCAGAGCTCCTTGCAGCCCTGGCTGGCAGCCACTAGCACTCATTGCAAGCCTGCTCACGAGGGAATTTACCTAGAAAATTCAAACGGCAACAAAAAAAAAGGGCTGAATGTGCACATATACTTACTGTCCTGCTGCCAAGCAAGTGGTGTAGTCTCCCTGCACATGCAGTCCTTAATACAAGGGAGCCGCCTTTGCCCTTTCAAAGTGAGCGTGGAGAAGCCCTGATTGTCAGATGCCTGTCACTGTCTTCTGGGGTTTGAACGATCATCCACAGCTCAGAATGATTCTGACAGATCACTGAGGTGATGGTGAAAAAAAGCTGCTTTTTACCTTCACTTCAATTATTTGTCAAAAAAAATTAGAAAAGTCAGTGCCATTTTGGAGGCACTTAATTAATTTGCATCCTTGTTTTCTCTTACACGCTGATGGAGATTTCCTCAGGCTCTGCATTTAAGAGAAGCCTGTGAAGTGCTTGAGGGTTCTGCACTTCAATCCTTTTTGTCTCCAGCTGGCGTTAAGTGGGCCACTGCTGCAGGCTTATAGAGTCAGAAGAGCTGCACTGAAAGACCTTCTTAAAATATGACTATATTTAATAATAACAGAGGAAGCATAAACTCAACCAGCCCGTTCGGTTGCTTTTTATAGCAATGTTCCCGTTTCAAGCCAGCACCAGTGTAAAAGTGCTACCTTTAAATACATTTAATCTTTTCCTGCTGGGAGTCACATTTTCCAAGTAGGATCTCAGTTGCCAGTGCTTGATGTAACAATAACCCAAAGCTGCCAGGAGCAAAGGGGAAGGATTATTTTAGATTAAAATATATGTATTTAAAAAAAAAAAAAATCCAGTTGGGGTATTTCTTTCTCTGTGTGAATAGTTTGGAGGTTTTGACTTTTTCAAGAAGAATGCAACATTGAGAGTGCAGAAAAAGTGCATCCATCCAGTGTTTCACCTAATTAGCACACAAAAAAAGAGAAATCTAAGCCAAGCCCAAAGCCATGGGAATTAAAGCTTATACAGACTGAGATCCTGTGGACTAACTGTATCTCCTGAACTTTTGGAGGACAGAAATGGCATTGCAGGATCTGCCAGGTGCCAGGTGGGTTGACATGCGTACAGTTTGGCATGGAAGAGGGCAGTTTGTGCCTTCAGTCTGAGCTTGCTGAGTTTAATTCTCCTCCTTGCTACAGATCCCTGTTACCAGCTTGGGAAACAAATTTCTCTGTTTGTGCCACAGCTCCTGACCTGTGAAGCAAAGCGACATCCCCAGGGCTCTTTGTAGGATTAATTTTGTATTCAAGAAGGTGCCTGAATGAAATGCCAGGACGTTCGGACAGATGAATTACAGGGTGCAGTAGTTCAGCTGAAAGACAGAAGAGGTTCCGATACCCAAGTGCAGACCCCTCTTTCGCACAATGAGCCTTGCTTTTGTGACAAAAAAAGGGGTAGTGCGGGCACTGCGAACACCCAGCACTAGGTACTGTCCATATGTAAATAGGGATGATGTTTGTATTCCTTTTTCTTTCTTTTTTTTTTCCATTTTCAGTCAATTTAACAAACGTTTTCTCTGCTGGTCTCAGAATCTGTGGTAGAATGAAAAACAAATTAGATTTTTAGGAATATTATAAATATTTACATTCCCATATGTACAGCAAAGCAAATGTCTGTTTGCAGAGTATCAGCTGGCGGTGCAGCAGACGTGATGCGCTAAAGGGAAGCTTCTTGGAAAGGGTTTTTCGGAGGTGACTTAAAGACAGACTCTCCACCAAGGGCTTCAAGAAGAGAGAAATCGCTGTGGAAATCTCAGGAAATACTGCTTTTTGTCTTCCACAGCACCTGGCTTAGGGTGGTAAATGTTGCAGTCCTTTTCCTAGGCCAGGCCAGCACCTGGTGTCGTAAAGTGCCTCTGCGGAGGAGCTCACGTCGCATCCTTGGGGACACCGCGCGGTCTGTCGGAGCAGACAGTGTACCCAGGTTTGCAGTAAGAGCCAGGACTGGAAATGGCACCCTCATGAAAGACTGCAATTTCAAAGGGAGTCAGTTCTTTCCATAAAGGGGACACTTTTATTATGGCAAATATAAAGAAAAAAAGAACAGTTCTACAAACCTTTGAGAGGTTTGGGATTTTTTTCAATAACTAGTTTCAGTAGTCAGTTTAGACTGATGAAAGCTTTCTGCCTGCACCAGTGAGCATGCTGAGCCTAATGCAAACCTGGAGATAGCACAGGGGACACAGCAGTACTTTTCCAACCCGTGCAGGTGATTGCACCTGTCACAGACGTAGTTCATGACTGTTGAAAGGACAGTCATCATCAGCCTAGGTCAGTCCTTCTGGACGCGGTCAGGAAAAGAGGGTAAATGACTGGAGCAGGGAGGCTGGGGTGACAGTCCAAGAGTATTTCATACTCAGGGTAGTTGGTGTCAGTTTTAGGAGGTGTAAATGAAGGAGATACTGCCTTTGTTATGAAATGCAAATGGTGGCGTGGTTTGAGTCTGCAAGGCGGCAGAATTGTTTTCATGGCAAGAAAATATTCCCAAGCTGCCTCAGAGGAAGCGGGAGGACAACAGCCCACCAGTAGGTCTTTGTCACCTGGTGATGGTGATATTGTTAGGCACCATGCGAAGCAAGGAGTGGTCTCCCTGGCTGAGCAGAGGTGTGGGAGTGAGCCAAGGATGAGCTGCCTTAGCTGAAATGACCTGCTCGGCTTGAGGAGGGAGCAGTGCCCCCCTACCCTTGTGAACCCCCTTCTGTTTGCTGTACTCAGTGCCTCTGAAACGCTGATCTTTCTAGCATCTGCTTTTGTATTTGCAGAACATCATTAAGAAAGTGATTGGACAAAAATTTGTGTACAAGTTTGTCTCCTTTCCTGAGATTTTAAAAATGGATCCACATGCTGTGGAAATCAGCAGAGAGAGACTTTTGCTGCAGGACAGCGACTGTAAGATGCCTTCCGAGAGCAGGGATCAGCACAAGCACAGCTTGTCAGCACTGAAAAGCAGAAGCTGAAATGAATATATCCACTCTGGCCTGTACTCCTCTTTCACTATCAACTCTCTGCAGAACCAGCCAGACCCTTACAAGCCAATCAAAACAGAAAAACTGGAGGAGAAATCAGAAGGAAACACACCAGTCGAAGAAGTTCGGACTGTTATAAGATTTGTGACAAACAAAACAGACAAACAAGTTATGAGGCCCATGGTGTCGTTGCCTTCCACTTCCGAAACAGCAGCTGCCTCTGCTTTTCTCAGCTCATCAGTATCAGCTAAAATATCTTCCTTAATGCTACCCAACAGTGCCAGCATTTCATCTCCATCGTCATCTTCCTCCAGGTCGCCGTCTCTGTCTCCCACCTCACCCCTCCCTGCAGAACACAGGAGCCTCTTCCTTGAGTCCAGTTGCCACGACTCAGATTCCCTTGAGCCTCTGAACCTCTCCTCAGGCTCCAAGGCAAAATCTCCATCTCTTCCCCCAAAGGCTAAAAAACCCAAAGGCTTGGAAATCTCCGCCCCACCTATGGTTCTCTCCAGCACTGACATCGGTTCCATCGCCCTCAACAGCCCCGCACTTCCGTCGGGGTCCCTGACTCCAGCTTTCTTCACTGCGCAGGTAAGACTTGCCTGTCTCCTGTACTCTGCCTTTAGCCAGGTGTTCCTCTCACGTGGCCAGGAGTGTTGGCTCTGTGGGTCTGTCATCATCCGATGGAAAAAAACCCCAAATACATGGGGAAGAGGGAAACGTGGCAGAGGTCTGAACAAAGGGTGGAAAGTAGGTTCCTCCTGGGGTTCCTGCGTGAGTGTGGGAAAAGCCATCACAGTTCACGGACTGCCTGGAAGGATAATGAGATGGGCAGCCGTTAGTTAGCATGAGTGAATCGCTTATCAGTTCCAGCCAGCCTCCAGGTCTACAAAACAAGCAGGAAAACAACAACAAGAAAAATACAGGTTTTTTGTGGGTCAGGACTTGAGCATGTGTGTTGTGGGATGCTTGGTTAGATTTCTCCCCTAGAACTAGATGTTGTAACCATTCAAACTGTGTGACCTTTGCATTAGTTTTTGAATACGGAGCAAACTGAGTGGTCTGTAAGACAAGGCTCTTAAGCCAGTTTCGATTTCCGAAGATTGACAGATCCACAGAGTACTTGTCATAGCTTCCTTTCAGCACAGACCTACTGAACAACCAGTAGGTTATTTTGTTTGTTTTAATCACACATTCGTGGCAATATCAATGCCGAGTTCTCATTTTCAAGCAAGTCTATGAAAAAACCTGGGAGTTCAGAGGAGAAGAGGAAAGTCATGTAGATAATGACCCGGTGTGTTCATTGGTGAGTTTTGTCTTACGCTACCACTGCAAAATCAGACAAAAAATTCCAAGAGTAAAATTATCCCAATGGGGAACATTCCCCCCCCCCACCCCCCAGAAATAAAGGTTGATGCAAACGCTAGCATTGAATGAAACAAGCTGAACAATAAATAAATAAATAGAAACGTGTGTGTTACAAGCTCTCATTCACTTTGGGCGGTCTAGGGGTCATGTTTTGTCCGGAATCCCCTTACCTCTTCCCTGTTTGAAGAGGTTTTACGAGTGATGCTGCAGTGCAGCCGGGTATTAGAGGTGTTTGAGCTGGCCTGCACAGCACGAAGGCCTGGCGGAGGTGAGAGCGTCGGCGAGTGCTCCCGGCCAGCGCAGCACTGGCTCTTACTGAGCTTTTCAGCTGGCGGCAGAGCAAGTTTGTGCAAAGCCACTGCAGTTCACACACACCTGTAAGCCACTGAGGTACGAGGTTGTGTTGCAAAGAAAGAGGATTTTGTGGGCCATTATCTGTCGTTTTTGACGCTGTAAAGCCTTTAAGTGAAATTATGTTTGGCAGGAGGAACAGAAGTGTGGCAAACCAAAATTGAGGTGCATTGACAGACTCCTGTAACCTCTAACTGTGGTATAACCACAGTACGTATTTTGCTTGAAGGGAGCAAATATGACAAGTAAATCATATCAAGATGCCAACCAGACACAATGACAGCACGAGTTATTACAAGCTCACTTTAATCTACTGCTGTCCTAAAACTCAGTGTGAACAGAGATTTCTTTCCTCATTTTGCAGTTATTTCTTTGAATGTTTGATTTTCTCATTCATCTATAAACTGGTGTACTTACTGCCCCTGAAAGATGTAGAAGGGCATTAGGTAGATGCTTGTGACCCTCCTTTAGCAGGATGGCTGGCTAAGGCTGTGATGACTGTTGTCCAACTTAACGTCACTGCAAATCTTTTTTTTACAGGTTATCCTATCACAGACGAGGCAGATGGCACCCATGTAGGGTAGTTCCTGGGTCCATTTATTTAAGCTTCTGGCTATACAGCAACACAGCTTTTTCCCTCTCTTTTAGTCTTCTGTTTCTAGTGTGGAGAAGCAGCACCCTGCATCCTGCATACTTGACCTAGTGAATATAAAATTAAAACTATGTAACAACAACTGTGTTCAGATAACTGTAATACCGCAATGCAAAATAGCTAAAATAACTAAAGCCGTAATTTAGGCTGGAAATCTGCTGTTCATCCTAGGAAAAGCATGCATCATATCTCAAATGATCTCTTGATTTATCAGATCCCAGTGGCAGCCGCTTGCTGCTGTGGGGCAGGCGCAGAACAGGATGTCAAACACTGGCTCCTGCTCCAGGAGTGTTGCAGGTTCGGACAAGGTCCTGCTGGCTGAGAGGGTGTTTCAGGTGGCTTTCCATTGTACCTGCCGGTCAGGAGGAATACCCTTGGGTGAAGCCCTGCGAAAGGGCACGTGGTATGCACAAGAAAAGTGGATTTGAAGATGTCGGTGCATACAGTACCATACTGTGGTAGAGAAATGTCAACTTTCCATTTGGTTAGCTTCAAAGGGAGATATTTAAATCTTGTTCATTACTTGCTTCTTTTACAGATTACTTCTGCTTGTTATTTTTTTTTGGCTCTCCCTTGGCCAGTGTGGATATGTAATTTTGACTCACTTTTTTTCTTCTGGCCTCTGTTTTAGCATTTGTAACATTTACAACATGCTGTTTCCTTACGGACAAAGTGGCGTGCCTGCAGCCAGCACGTGCAGTGTCTGTATTGTATCCACATGCACCATACAGGCTCCAGCACGTGCCTAATGACCTGGGAGGTAATGTACGTGTGACAGCGCTTGTCTGTTATCTGGCACCTAGAAGAGACAAGAAAGATTGTGCTTACACGCATTCTTTGTCAGAGAAGTCAGGAGCCATGAGCAGCGTTGCTTAACACAGTCTTCTCTGTGCAGTGAATTATGTCTATTTAAACTGTTCCTATGCTTAGGTTATAATGACGTCTTTTAAGTAGGAACTTCCCACCGGGTTCCACGTCTAATACCAGATGTACAGCTGCATGAGGGCAGAAAATGAAGTGACACATCAATTTCTGCGTGTAATTTAAGGATAGCCTGTGCTGTGGTGTTGTTTATGCTTACATTTCCTCTGGTGGTTTTGATGCTTGGCTGATGGTGTTACTGAGACCAAGCCTGGGGGGAACCTGTGCTCTTTTTGCATTAAACATTAACAGATTTGGAGGCTTGCTTTGGCTGGCTCTTGGTTCTGGAAGGACTTGGAGACGTTAGTGCTCTGAGCATCAAAGGACATGAGCTTTTGCTTAGCGCTGTTGTTAGGCATGCTAACATCCTTCCAGAGATGAATGGAGGACAGCTCAGTTTCCAGTCTCCTCTCTCCCTGAAGACTTGCTCTGGTTGTACCTAAGTAGGAATAAACACCTCCAAGTTTTCTTCTTTATTTTCAAAAGACCCTCTTGAGAACTGCATTTTCAATTCTGTATATCTGCAGCTTCTTAGGGGAAAAATAAAGAACCGAGGCATAGCTCATTGGAGCTCAGTACAGTTGGCACAATACTGTGTCCTTAGTTGAATGTTGTTGGGTCTTGCTGCTTACATCTTTGGTTTTAAGGTTAGTAGGCTCTTCGGTAAGTAGATCTCTGAGTATTTATCCTGACCTAATTTGGTGTGTTCCTTGTCAGTTGCATAAATCCCCATCAACAGCCGCCTGCCCATGGAGCATCAGCCTGCGGTGGGGCACAGGAGATGTGCTCTCACTGGTGCTGCTGTTTTCCTGCCCCATGAAAGCACCGTGGTCCTGGGAAGAGGGTGTTTGTGAAGAAGCTAGTCACAAGTGCCTGCTTGTCAAGGATTTTTTCTCAGATATCTTGACAAGAGCTGCCATTTGATGAGATCAAAACAGAAGTTTTCTCCTTGCCAGGCCTCCACCCACTGTTTGCCCCTTTTGTTGTAATCCAGGTATATCCAAACCCTGACCTCGTTGGTACTCCTGTGACCACCAAACCTGCTGTTTTACTGCATGAACAGTTTTTGCTTTCCCAGCAATGCCACATGCTTACTGCTCCTTGGGACATAACTGTGGTTTCTTCCACGGGGTTCAGTGTTTCTGAGAGAGACAGCAGCGCCCTTTGCCCTTGCATTTCTCCGTGAACCCCCTGCTTTTGAGATTCCTTAGAGAAATCATCCCCTTCAAGAGCAGCCAAGCTCTTTGTATTAAATAGCCTTTCAGACACCTTGGGACAGAACCACTGGGAGGACCTTAATGTTTGCTGCTGCTTGTCTCTCCCATCTCTTCTGCTGGTGTTGAACTAATTGTTTGACCCTGTTGTGAACTCCAGTGCGAGCACGTCAGAGCAGGTTTGTATTCCTGTGCGTTGCACAGAGCCTCGAACACCGCAGCTGATCCCTCAGGTACTGCTTTGCAAATAATATCTTCGTCGTATTCAGAAATCCGTACGACCTGTGGTGCCTGCCTTTCTGAGCCTGCTCACCGCAGAGTCCTGGCAATGGGATGGGGCAGCCCTTGGGGTAAGCAGTTGTTCGGTGAGACCCCTTGTTGCAGTTGCCATATGTGGAGTTTGTATTTCTGGCCTGGTGGGAAGCTAGCAGGTACCAGACTGCATGATGTGCTGGTTACTAGGGGGAGATACTCTTTATCTTCTGTCTTCTCTTTATGTGTTTTAAAGTCTGGACAAACTGATGGCCCAGTTCAGCAGAGCACTGAGGCTCTTGTCCTACACAGCGAAACACCTACTTACTTGCTAAGTGTGCACTCAAATTCCATTAAGTGTTTTTCTAAATAGGACTGATTTTGATAATTGGCATCAAGATTACTAATGAGATTAACTCATTATGCCAAATACTTCGTTTAAAACTGTCACATCACTTTCATGTTCTTACTCTGGATACAGAATAATTCATGTGATTCTTCCTCCGAATGGAGATTTGCATCTGCTTTAGCTCTACCTCCCCTCCAATCGTACTTTAGAAGTGCTGCGAGCATTTCCAGCAATCCTTGTGTGCCATGGCACTGGAAGGAGCCACCCCCGAGTTGGGAAAAGCCTTGGATTCATAGTTCCTGCAATTTTGGTTCTTTTCGAACAGTTAGCTGTGCTCTCCGCCGTCCCTCTGGGCACCCAAGGCGTACACCTGCCTCCCCCGGCGTCAGCGGGTGCCCTGCCAGTTTCTTGAAGCTCCTTCCATTTTGAACAGGCGCCGTCAGAGGAGTAAACTTCAAAGACTGGCAGTGGCTCTTTTGGCTCCAGATACAGTTGCATTAATGCTTCAAAAGCTGCAGTCAGGGCGAGCAATTGCTGCCCTTCAAAAGGTAAAAAATTATTCTGAGGAAGACTAGGCTGTGTTTACGGACATTGGGGCACGCGTGATATTTTATACAGTCGCATGAGCGTGGTTCAGATAAATAATAACTGTGCTTCTCTTTAAGCAAATCACAATAGAAATTAAATCAATTTGTATATGAAGGAATATTAAATGTGCCAGTATCCAGTGTTGACCACTGCGGAGAGGGGTTGCAGGGCTGGGTGGGCAGTTGCTGTGTGTCCAAATTCACTGGGAAAAAAAGCCAGTGGGTAAAGCGGAAGATGCTAGAGGTTGTGACTGCTGCATGGAGCTGTAACTCCCGACGCATGCATCATGGGGTGGTTTTTTTCTGTCTTGCAGACCCCAAATGGATTATTGCTGACCCCGAGCCCGCTGCTGTCTAGCATTCATTTCTGGAGCAGTCTCAGTCCTGTCGCTCCTCTGAGTCCTGCCAGGCTGCAGGGACCAAACACTCTGTTCCAGGTAGGTCTTCAAATGCACAGGTGTCAATGCTGAAAGTGCACGTGTGGAAGAAACACCAGGGGAGCATCTCCTTGCATCAGTCTGGAGCTTTTCAAATAGTTTACAAAAATACAGCCGTTAACAGGCCCTTTTAAAGAGAGGCCTGCTTACTCGTAACTTCTTCAAACCCTTGCCAGCACAGTCAGGAGATACAGGGCAGTGTCTACTGCAGCAAGCAGACACATATTGTATGAAGGAAGCAGAAATAAATGCTGGACCCCAGTAAGAGTTGGTAACGGAGCTCTGAGAGCTTCAGGAAGAGGGGGCAGACTAGTCGGGGACCAGCCAGGAGAGTAGTGGAACGTGGACTCTGGGAAAACCAAGACCAGTTTGGGTCTCACGCAGTAAGGTGGGTGTAGGTTTATGCTTCTGTCTTAACGAGCTACTTCTCACTCAGAAGGATGGGGCAGTTGTATTTACAGTAAGGGCACTCTGAACCTGAAGGCTCCATTTCCAGTTCTCCTGCAGATTATCTGTGTGTCCTCAGCCAAGTTACTTCACACCTCCGAGCTCGACCTCTCTGTATGTAACAGGAGGAAGGCAGCATTGTCCCCTTTCTCTCATGGGTACTGGGAGAGTAAAAATCTCAAAAGTTTTTTAGAGATAGGATAGATACAAAGTAAACCGCAATGGCCCCAGCACTCAGCTGCAGCATTCGCTTGAGGCTAAGGAAGAGGATAGTGGGGATGGTATTGGCAGCACCAGCTGTAGCTGCTGCGAAACAGCAGATTCAGTAAGTCAAGGAAGAAATTACGCTGATCAGCTGGTTGGCAAGAGGCACAAGCAGCTGGTGGCCATCCCAGCAGCTGAAGAATGAAGGGGCACCCCTGGAATGAACTCCCCGACTGCTGTGGAGGGCCAGCACTGACAGAAGAGGGGGCTGCTGCTGGGCAGGGACCCTGTGTTCGTCTCCGAACCTTCGGGGAGACTGACCGCCCAGCTCCAGGGCTGGGCCTCAGCTCAGGCGCTCTGCTGTGGGATGGTCCTCACCGGGGACCCTCTACCGCCAGTGGGACAGCTGAACCTGGAGCCCCGGGGCTCCTTATCTGTGTTTCAGATAAATTAAATCATCCCTATTGGAGGTGGGTTTTGTACATGTGGTTTAAAACACCCAGACGCTGCATTTGAGAGGGAGATGGCTGAGCTGTGGCCTGGAATGAGCTTGTACGGACAAACACTGGCCACCCCCTGCGGAAGCCGAAGTGGAGAGCGGCCTTGGCTCTGCCCCCTCTGAGACCCGGACAGCCTGCTATAAATTAGGTCTGATTCAGGCGAAGGCCACCGCGACAGGTCTGCAGAGCACAAAGCTTTATTTTAACAGCCAAATAGGAAATGAGAGTGGCAAGGGAAGCCTGGCCAACCCCGCCGAGAACTGCTGGGTCATCCCACATAGGCATCGGGGCAGAGCTGGCCCTGGGCTGCCTGCACAAGCCAGGCCACGCTCCACACAGCTCCTCAGGGACGGGAGGAAAGAGCTGGAGCTGCTTCACAAATTGAGTTTGCTTTCACCTGGTCATTGACACAGGGCATTGGGAAAAACATTTTGTCGTTGTTAGAACAGCCCAAGTCCTGCCAGCAGCTGGAGGCCAGGCCAGCTCTGCTGCCTGCCTCTGCACCCTCGCCTGCTGCCTTGCATGGAGGAGAGATCAGGCTCCTATATTTATTTTTCTTTCAGGGGTGTGCTGCTTTTCACAATAGCACTCTGCTTGGCACTGCCTATAGTTGTTCAGTACTACTGTTTGTGTAAGTAGAAGGACCAGGATGGGATCCATCCATGCACGCCCACAGTCCAACTAAGCCCTGGACAAGCCTATAGGAAAGTATGGCCCCTCCCTTAACAAACCAGGAGCCTGTTCATAGAATAGTTTGGGTTGGAAAGGACCTTTAGAGGTCATCTAGTCCAACCCCAACCCCCCTGCAATGAGTAGGGACATCTTCAACCAGATCAGGTTGCTCAGAGCCCTGTCCAGCCTGGTCTGGAATGTTTCCAGGGTTTCACCACCCTCATTGTAAACAGTATCTTCCTTATATCCAGTCTGAATCTCCCCTTTTTTAGTTTAAAGCCATCACCCCACTCTTTTAGTTTAAAACCATGTACTATTGGTACAGGCCCTGCTAAAACGCCTGTCCCCATCTTTATTAGAAGTCTCCTTTAAGTACTGAAGGTCTTCCTGGAGCCTTCTCCTCTCCCGGCTGAACAGCCCCAGCTCTCTCAGCCTTTCCTCACAGCAGAGGGGTTCCAACCCTCGGATCATTGTTATGGCCTCCTCTGGTCCTGCTCCAACAGGTCTGATGACTCCTGTTTCTCCATTAAATGGAAAGGACTGGATTTTTTTTTTTTTGACCTGGGCAGAACAACAGGATGGTCACCTTCAATTTTTTGTGCTTGTGTGGTATGACTGACCTTTCCTCAAAATATTTGTTGTTACCAGCCAGGCTTAATATAAGCTAAGCTACAAAAATAACTTTTGGATAGCATTCGGACCAGAGGTCTCAATCCCTTCATCCCCCAGCCTGTGCTGATGCCGGGAGTTGCCCTGGCCCAGGTGCAGGACCTTGCACTCGGCCTTGTTGAACCTTATGAGGTTCACCCAGGCCCACTCCTCAAGCCTGTCCAGGTCCCTCTGGCTGGCATCCCTTCCCTCCAGCATGTTCACTACAGCTTGGTGTTGTCTGCAAACTTGCTGAGGGTGCACTCAATCCCGCTGTCTCTGTCATTCCTGAAGATATTAAGCAGTACTGGTCCCAGTACAGACCCCTGAGGGACACCACTTGCCACCGACCTCCATCTGGACACAGAGCCATTGACCACTACGCTCTGGATGTGACCATCCCACCAGTTCCTCATCCACGAACAGTCCACCCATTCAAATCCATCTGTCTCCAATTTAGAGAGAAGGGTGTTGTGGGGGACCGTGTCAAAGGCCTTACAGAAGCCCAGATAGATGACATTGATAGCTCTTCCCTTGTCCACTGATGTAGTGACTACATCAAAGAAGGCCAAAAGGTTGGTCAGGCAGGACTTTCCCTTGGTAAAACCGTGCTGGCTGTCTCGAATCACCTCTCTGTCCTCTATATGCCTTAGCAAAGGTTCTAGGAGGATCTGTTCCATGGTCTTCCCGGGTGCGAGTGCTGTTCTGGCACTGCTGGACATGATGACGTGCATACTCCCTCACAAAGCATGGAGATGCTTATTAACTGGTAAAACCCTCTCCTTTGATGGTTATGACAGCAACTCGCATACACCTACGCCCGTACACCCTTGCAGCCTATGTAGAGCATCACTGAAATCTGCTGCCTCCTTTCACAGAATTTACCTTGATATATTGACCTACCTGGAAAGTCTTCCCTTTGAAGCCACACTGCTGTGTAATTAAACTTATTTTGATGTTCTGCCATGAAATAATTACCACATAACTGGAAACAGCGAAAGACTTGCACGGAATTGGTTAATTCAAGGAAATGTAGCCAAATTTAAGGACTGTCAAATTAGCCTGGATTAAGGGCTACCTAAATGAAGCGTATTTTCTCTGTTACTCCTGTATAGACGGTAGCACCGAGAAGGCGTAGTCAAGCCCCCGATCCCTATGCGTGTGAGCGAAGCGCGTTGCCGCAGCCCCAGAGCCTACAGGGAGAATGGGAAGAAGAACGCGAGAGCTGGGTTGGGGTGGAGACCAGGGGACGGATGAACTTGTGACACTAGCATTGCTTGTGTCCCAGGCTGTAGTGCCAGCGTGCCACCCGCCTCGACCAGCACCAGAGATCACATAACCCTCTTTTTGTTATCTTTAGAAATCACGTTGTAATTTACATGTCTCACTTTGGAAACTGAGACTAGAAAAACAAGAGCTTGAAATCAAGTTCTGTGTTTTAATGAATCTTGGCAGAAGCGATAGACATATTTCCTGTGGTCTGGTTTGGTCAAAATAAAGGTACAGGGCAGTCCTGGCCACAGGAGGAGGGCAGTGCCAGCCCCCTGCAGCACGCTGCTCAGCCTGTGCTGCTCGGTGTGATTTCCAGCTGAACGTTGGGAGATTGATACCATTGACTGTGGCTCTGCAGAGGGATCTGGAGAGGCTGGATCGATGGGGCAAGGCCAACTGTATGATGTTCAACAAGGCCAAATGCTGGGTCCTGCACTTGGGTCACAACAACCCCACGCAATGCTACAGGCTTGGGGAGGAGTGGCTGGAAAGCTGCCTGGCAGAAAAGGACCTTGGGGTGCTGGTCAGCAGCCAGTTGAACATGAGCCAGCAGTGTGCCCAGGTGGCCAAGAAAGCCAACAGCATCCTGGCCTGTATCAGGAATAGTGTGGCCAGCAGGAGTAGGAAGGTGATTCTCCCCCTGTACTCAGCACTGGTGAGGCCGCACCTCGAGTACTGTGTGCAGTTTTGGGCCCCTCACTACAAGAAGGACATTGAGTTGCTGGAGCGTGTCCAGAGGCTGGTGAGGGGTCTGGAGAACAAGTCTTATGAGGAGCGGTTGAAGGAGCTGGGGGTGTTTAGTCTGGAGAAGAGGAGGCTGAGGGGGGACCTTATCACTCTCTACAGCTGCCTGAAAAGGAGGTTGTAGTGAGGTGGGTTTTGGTCTCTTCTCCCAGGTAACTAGCCATAGGACAAGAGGCAATGGCCTCAAGTTGCATCAGGGGAGATTTAGATTGGATATTAGGAAAAATTTCTTTACTGAAAGAGTGGTCAGGCACTGGGACAGGCTGCCCAGGGAGGTGGTGGAGTCACCATCCCTGGAGGTGTTCAAAAAACATGTAGATGCGGCACTTTGGGATATGGTTTAGCAGGCATGGTGGTGTTGGGATCATGGTTGGACTTGATGATCTTAGAGGGCTTTTCCAACCTATGATTCTATGATGCTATGAACTAACATCTTAGTGGGAGAGTAATCCTGTTGCAAGGGGATTGTATGCACGTGTAGAGGTTGATGACGCCGCAGTTGGCTGTTGGAGGGCTGATCTGGTAAATGGTAGAAATACACCGTACAGTTGAAGTCAGGAGCTCTGTCATGGGGCTCGGTCTTTCTGAAGCCCACAGAAGCCCAGTGCAGTGTGCTCGTGGAACCACGAGGCCAGGTCGGTGTCTGCCACTGGGATAATTCCTGCCTCGTGCTGCAACGAGTTTATTCCACCCCCTTGCTCTGCCTTTTCACAGGTCAGCTGTCAGTACATGTCACTGCCGGCGAGTTACAGTCGAGATGCTGTCATGAGCTGGGAATATACGGCTTATGTATTGAAGGAGTATTTTTTGTGCAGTATTTCAGAAGCAGAAGGTTAATACTAAATGACAATGTATTCTGCTTCACATATTGTATGATCTGGCACACCTAGTTTACAGCTTCTTAGTGAATACAGAGAAAAGCTGCAATTACTTGAGGGTAATTTTCCCCAGTTTTGTAGTCACAGTTGTGCTTTTCTGCCCTAAAACTACACCTCAACTTTCACTTTTGCAACGCTCTTTCCCACTTAGCTTTTAGGAAGGGCAGATGAAAAGCCTGGATTTTAATTAATGTTTTGTAGGTGGAAAAACATTTTTGGAAGCAGAATGGATGGCAAACATCGCTTTATAGCATTCATTTTCCCAGGGTGATGACAGCTGTATGGTTATGGGAACTTTTATATTAAATATAGCCAACAATAGATTTACACATGCCCGTACATTTACAGATTATTCAGGTTTCATCCTCTGTTTCACATTCCTGAGGGCTGATGTAGGCATTTGGTATGTATCTTCCTGTATGACAATGACAGCTCTTGAGACCATCTGGAGTCGGTTGCTAACGCCAAACGCGTGTGCTGCTGGGCTGAGTGCTTTGAGATAAAACGTGATTTCTGCCTTTTGGCCCGTTACAGTTTCCGACTCTGCTAAATGGTCACATACCAGTGCCGCTGCCCAGTCTGGACGGAGCCTCTTCTCCCGTACTGCTTTCTCCGAACGCTCAGAAATCCTGATGACGCCTCATCACGCCAAGGACTTATTGGCGGATTTAACACTTCATTCCTATGGGCTAGTTTTTCCTGTGTCATGAGAAGGACGTTGTGAAACCCTCTGTTACTTTGGTTTGCACTTTTCATTACATGGATAATCTACTTTTATTATGTTAGCATTTTTAAACAGTGTTTATATATAAAAGTATATATAAATCTGTTTTGCATTAAATGAATTATAATTTTTTTATATCATAGCTCTCAAGTGTTGAACACTTCTGTTGTTGATGAAGTACTTTTGGTAATGGATCGCAACAATGTATCTAATAAGGATGTGAAGCTTCTTTTTAATCCCTTTTTCCGCATATTATGCGTTGTGCTTGTGTAAACTGTAACCGGCTGTGCCTTCTTTTGCATAATGTCATGTAAATGATTTATATATTTTCTAGTATTAAGATGAAAAGTTGAAAGACAAAACTAGTATTGAACAGCCCTAGGGTAGTATTTCAGTATTTTCTCCACGGATAGGCCATATGATGCAGTGTATTCATGTAACTTTGTATTAAGTGCTTTCAAATTGTATAAAAATAGCCTTACAATTTTTCTTTGCTGAAGTGAAAAACGTACTCAACCTTACAGTCAGGAGACGCATTTAGGAGTAACAAAGCCACATTTACACATTTATGCCCCAGGTTCTTCTGTGGAGGTGCAACAGGGAGGAACTGGGCCGTGTACATTCACGAGACCTTTCCAGAATTGGAGAATACTTCTGCGGAAAAGGCGACGGTGCTCGGAGGCTGCTTGGCCTGTACTGCTTACGAGCTGCCAGCGTCACAGCTGGGAAGGCTGCAGGTATCTCTGTCCTCCCAGGGAATGAGGATCATTCCCAATAGAGAATTTCCAGGTGCTTTGTTCAGTCGTGCCAAGTGCCTTCTACTATTTCCCTGGAAAGACTATTTATTCTAGCTACGAAAGCTCAGAAGGTCGCGTTTCCCCATCCCCCAGAGCTGGAAAAGTTACAGAACTGTAAATTAATGCCTGGTGCTTGTAAAGAGGCATACTGTACGTGTGGGATGTTTATGTATAAACATCTGAATTCTGGATTAAAAACCAGCACTGTGTTACTATATACTTGCAACTTGAATTTACTGGGCATGTCCTTTACCTTGAGGCGATGGCTTAGTCATCTAAATGCCAGGTTAGGATTAGGCCAGACTCCCTGGCACCGCAGATTCTAATCTTGGCAGGGCTGATGCGAATCTTCAGTTTTCTGAGGTGGCTAAATTTGGGCTGAACGCAGCTTTACCATGTAGGTTTTTCAGATGAGACCTTCAAAAACCAAACCAAAATCAGAACCCTGTTTGCTACAGGTCATTAGAACTTCTACTTTGCTTTCTGGCCCAGCGGCTGGTCAAGTCTGTTCTTTTTGAAATCTATGCAGTGAGTTGTCCGCCGATTCTCTGTTTGGATGCATTTCAGTGATGGTGTGTGTAGTTAATTGTAAAGCGCTTTTGGATCCTTCAACCTGAAAGGTGCTAAATAAACATTTTATTAATGCAGTTCTGATGTTGAAAAGCCATTTTTCTGGCAGAGGTCTCCTCGGTTTCACTCGGAGTAATTAACGGGATAAAAACCTGCTGTATCTGTATGAAGCACCAGTGCTGATAAACAGAGCAATTAGGCACAAGACATAACGAAGAACACTGAAGCACACGGGAAGTCATTCGCCTGACGCAGCATTTCAGGAGCTCCAAGAGGTACCACCCCGCGGAGTCAAAACCAGAAGATGGACCTATGCAAAATTTACGAGAGAAGGGAAATTTCATACCACGTAAAATCAGAACAGGTCAGAAGAAAAGGCAGCGTGTGACTGACGGGATTGACTAGTCCAGCGGAGATTAGATCACAAGGGCTCACAGGTCAAACATTTCCCTTTCAACGGATTCCTCCCAGGTACACGCAATATTTTTCAGTGACTAAGTTACAGAGAGGCAATTATTCCCACTCTAGAGCCAAATCTGGTCTCATTTTTAAGTATCAATGTCCACTTCAGTAAAGTCTCGCCTTGTACACGCCAGTATAGCTAATGGGAGAACAAGGCACAGAGATGAAGTGTTTCTTCACTCTTTGACCTAGGAAGAAGTATTGAATACCACACGGCAAAAAACCCCAGATGAACATGAGAGGAGGGAGCGTGTGGCAGAGACGAGATTCTTAAAACAAAAAGCATCCGGATTATCATGAGTTTGTTTCTTCCAAAGTTTGCTTCTTCCAAGGTTTCACAGCTACACCTCCCCCCCAGTTACTGTGATTTTCTTTTAAAGGTAACAGAAAATAGCAATTCTAGGACAAAATCTGTTTGAACAAATTGCCGTAAAGTATCCGAGAGAATTCAGTAAAACTTCAGGGAAGACACCTAGCTAGAAACAGGAAAGTAGTGCTGTCTTCTCTTGGAGACAATAAAAAATAGCAACAGAACAACAGATCCTCTTTTGCTGGTTGACTTTTCAATGAAGAAAAAAAAAAAAGGTTGTCAAATCTGCCTTCCAAATTGGTCAATGATGTGGAACCAAAATTCTTCCTACTGGGAAGGATTAGTACAAATAACATCCAGCCCCTCAAGTGTACCCCTTCCCTAAAACACTAGATTATTATGCCTTATGCTTCCAAGAAAATATTCTATTGGTAATTTTCTATTGAATTTTATTAACAGGTGTCTTTTTAACTGTAGAGAAAAAGCAAATAAATGTTTGTAAAATAAATACTGTGACAGCGTCAATATTTCTGTGGCATGGAGAGCTCCAGGAGGAAAATCCTGGGGAGCAGAACGGGAGTTACTCTCTCTTCAGCATTCTTGGTAGCAATTGCAATTTGATCACACTTCAGGAGTTTTTGGATAGGTTTACAGGGTATTCATGCTTCAGCAATCCAGAAAGCTTTCGATGTTACATAGGCTGGGTGCACAATTACGCTATCCTTGGCTTACCTTTACATTGTTTTTCCAGAAGAGCAAGGATCCAGCAGCAGGGCCGCAGCTACTGGGTAGCTTTGCCAAGAGATTGCACACATCTTCTGCCCTGGCACAGGTACGGTTCGAAAGCAAACTTTTGAGGTGGGGAAAACAGTGATGGGTGCTGAACAGCGACAGAAGAAGAAAGATTTGACACACATCCATTACGTCAACAAAGAACAATTTGTTTTGTCTGAAGAGAAGTAGTCTCATCAGACAGGCACTTGCCAATCTGGAAATACCTACTGAAGACGTCACGCATTGTCACCAAGATGACTGTTCAAAGGAGAGATCGTCCTTTAAAACAGATGACAGCACTTCATTTTAGCAGAACGAGCCTCTGCATTAAGAGGCTGCGTGGTCTTGTGCCTACAGGAAGCATCTTTAGAAGCCATCGTGGCCACCAAATAAATTTAGGAAAGGCACAGTAACTACAGGTAGTCTTTTAACTAAGGGCATCGCTGTTCCCTTCTGGTCCCAAGACTGTCTCTGTATCCTGCAGGATAAAGAAACACAGCTCACTCAGATTTAAGAATACCTCTACCAGGTCATCAGAAAACTGCAACTTTCAAAAACCCTTTTAGTCCCAAGCTGTGACTGCTCTTCCCACTTAAGACACGAGTGCTCTGCCTACACAGATGCAGTACAAACCTATTTCTCGAGGGCAAAGAGATTGACAGCATTAGTGAGGAGGAGAATAGATTTATTTAGAAGAAAAAAGAATGAACCTCAGCAAGGACTCTGGAGCCACCAGCATCATGGCCTACCTTGGCGGGTATCTGCAGAACAGCGTCCTAGGGGAGAGGACTCTAGGATATGTTGATTTTTTTCTTGGAAGATTCCCATCAGTTCGTGTTCACTCTGCAAGAAGTGCGAATGGATAAACATAACCTTCGTTATTCCTAGCGGGGCTCCAGGCCAGCTGCCTCCTCCTGCAAATTAAGGAAAAGGACGTGGAAGACAAGGAGGGGGGGGGAAGTCTTTGAAAAAACAAGCTCAGAGGGTGAAAAAGCAGGAGCAGGCAGCGCTGCCGCCGAAGGACCTGACCTGCAAGAGCATGCGGGGACGGGGAAGAGCATTCTCCCCAGTCTGGAAGCCGCAGCGATGGCATTTCCACCAGCAAGAAGATCCCAGTGCAACAAATGAAGGAACTTCATAGCTCTCAGGTGAAAAACGTGTTTCAGGGTAAGGCATCTGCGCTGAGCGAGGCTCGCGTTTCATGGCCGGCCATGAAAGCAACCCGCTCGGGCAGGCCCGCTTCTGAGGTGGTTCTGGGGGATGCAGCCAGGACAACAAACGAAGCAGTTACTCACGACGGTAAGTGTGTACATATGTGTGCATTCGCAGTTTAAGTTGGCTCAAAAATGAGAGAACTTAAAAGAGCTAAAGGGATTTTAGGAAATGTGAAAATAATGGAAAATTGTAATGTACGCGTTTTTCCACTGACACCAATCTTTGTCTCCCAGTTAACACGAGGGGCCCAGTACAGCGCGGTGAAAATCACACACAAAAGACTAAAAAAAAAAAATCTAGAATAGCTAAACTCCTAGTAGTTCTGACAACATGAGTTCCCACTGTGGCCTAGAATGAGAGCGTGATTCCTGTGTGGCTGAACTCCGCAGATGAAAAGGCCGTATGGTATGAACGACAAAGCCCATGTACCCACTTGGCTTCTACACTTTTCAAAATCATCCTACCTGTAGGGCCAGAGCTCACTTTACAACGCACCAATCAGCTGAACACTTGCACAGAGCTTCCTTTCGGTTTTATAATCTATACCTGCTAACTTGTCAGTCTCTCCAAGTGCTCCGGCACGGATGCTGGTGGGATAAAGGGATGCTGCTGCCCCACACGCAGGCCAGACCTCAGCATTAAATCTCTAACAAGCCAGGATCCGAAATGAAAAAAAAAGAATCTGTAAAGAGTAAGCATTCAAGTTCCTCTCCAAAATTCAGAAATTTCACAGAAACATTGCATTTGTTTCAAAGCCAAACTTTACTATGGGACAAAAGGTACTGAAACGTGCTAACGAGTGCACAAATTAACGCAGCTCTGCCCGCTGGTGACCAGACCAACCGACCCCACGTCTGTGGGCACGTGTTGTCACTGACAGGGTAAGGTCTCGCTGTGCATTTCCATACCCTAATTTGCTTGGATTTCTTTCAAGTCTGACCCTCATTCTGGGTATTTCCTGGGTTTGTAATACTTAGCCTGGGGATATTTAGAACACAACTCTGATACATTTTGTCCTCAATAACTGAATGTATTCTTAACCTTAATTCCATCTTAACACTGAAAACCAGAAACAATGTACCTTTATTACACTGAAAAACTCTCACGCAAACAACAAGCAAGCAGCCCAAAGAACACCACCTCGCAGTTTTACAAATGATTTGCAAATACAAAGTATGCTGATTCTTTAATAATCGTTTATTTAAACTTTTATTGCCCAATTGAGGGATACACTCTGGCCACTCCATGCTGTGGTAAAGCAGCACAACAGTCACACCGCCGCGTTGAGACGCGCGTTCCACCAGAGCACGGCCGAGCCGCCGGTTTGCCCCTTCCGTCCCCCGCTCCATCCTGCCCTGCCAGCTCCCGTCCTCCAGCCAGGGGCAGGTTGTGCACACTGTCTGTCTTCTGAAAATAACCGCTTAAAATCAGCTACAACCTGCAGGCTGTTTCTCATGAACGGATCGCTCATCTTCAAGCA